GATTCGTGCAATTCTATCATCCGTATCCACGTGAATTCCGTCAGACTCAGATATCATGGTACCAAACTTGCATGCTGTGCATGGCACCGTATTTACATGTACATGTACCCTATGCGAAGGACAGGTAATGCTCCATGAAATTCCTTTCTCACATATCTTGTCTGTATTTACGCTACAAATTATATTTAAATATGAAATATTTTTCCGACCTAATTATTTGATTTTATCAAAATTTCTTATAAATTATTCATAGCCTTTATGGAAATTGTTTTAAACTTTTTAAATGATTAAATACACCTGGCAACGAGCCGTATGCATTTTCAATCCAGCCACCACTGTATTTACTGTGGTGTCGTTACTAGGGCTGCAACGATGAATCGATGAACCGCAATGTTTTAAAGATGCACGATACAATCAATGTCTGTATCGGGATTCATTAGACCAATATTCCTTTTAATTCGTAAATAAGTCCATGAGCTAAATAACTTTTTATACGCCCACATTGAGATGTGGTCGTATATTGTTGTCGCCCCCGTCCGTCCGGTGTCCACAATGGATACTCTAGAGCAGTGATGGGATTTCAAAATTTTAGTTGTCGGACATTTTCTTCCCGAAAATAAAGGGACATAATTCTTATCGTTATTTAAGCAGGTGTTTTCAAACCACAATTAAGAATCACGTGTCAACAAAATATTCAAATTCATACGTAATAAAAAAAATAGGTGCACCTCGTTATTTTTTAAAATTTAATTCCCGTACGGTATTCAAATTTATGTCAATAATATTCCGACAAAATTACATGACATCGTAATACCATAGAATGAAAGCGTGCCGACTACTGCCCATCCGTATACCGGTTTCAAATTCCCCCCAAATTACCGTATTTTTCGGGTCATAAGTTGATACATTTTTCAGCGAAGTCCGGCATTCATCTTATACTCGATTTATATACGGAAGGTAAAAAAATGACATCCCGAAATTTATTTGACCATAAACCGTAGTAAACGTCGCTCTATAATACGAGCGAGTGACACCAACTGCTAAAAAATCCCATTCGACTCTAAGCATGCGCTCTCGTCTAAAACAATTACCGTAACTACTTACGTTATTCCAATCAAAATATTCTTCAACATTATTTAGCGTGTTTATGTATTTATTTAAAAACATAAACCCCATTCAAAATATGATCATAAATCCGACAATATGCCATCAAAATAGAATCTTTTCTCCCAACATCAGACGTATTAGTTTTGGCACGTTTACACCTCTTAATTCCACGTGTCTCGCAAGATTTCTACTTTCATTTTGCGTGTGTGTGAAATAGCTTTATTTAACTTCGGCTTCCACTGAAGAAATATCACAGACAAGTTATCGGACACAATGTATATTGATTTGGGGTGTTATATACAATTAGGCTATGAGACATATATGACTAATGTCTACGGCCGACATCAAAAGTTTATTGGATTGATATTTAGTCTGACAAAGGAGAAGCAATGACTTCTGTTCAGGATTGAATTGATGAATTGTCCAACAAAGAATTAAGTCAGTCAATCAAGGCAGATTAAGTAGTTAATCAAGGTATGTGTATAGACCGTATAAAACGATAAATACGTTGATCACTTAATTACCTAATCAATCCAGCCTATTATCAACGATAATCGGGTTGAGTGGTAGTTATACACTCAGTACACTATATTAATTTTGGAATTTTGAATATTATTTACCATGTCTTGATGTCCAATTCGGCAATTCCTGGTCGGACAATTTACGACGTTTGGAAAATAGCGTTGGACATGTCCGGAATATACGGGCAAAATCCCATCACTGTTCTAGAGGATAAACTTAATATTCGATTGACTTAAAATTTATACACAGTGTTTAAGGTCATGAGATGAAGAAGCCTATTGATTTTCAGCGATTTACGATAATTACTGCCAGAGTTACGGCCCTTGATCACTTTGGATAATCTTATGGACGCTCTAGAGGCTCCAGTTAATTTGCGATTGACTTTAAATTTATACACAGTGTTTAAGGTCATGAGATGAAGAAGCCTATTGATTTTCAGCGATTTTGGATAATTACTGCCAGAGTTATAGCCCTTGATCACTTGAAAAATCTTGTGGACGCTCTAGAGGCTAAAGCTAATATCCGATTGACTTTAAATTCAACGAATTCTAATAATTACTACCAAAGTTATGGCCCTTGATCACTTTGAAAAGTCTTGTGACACTCTAGAGGCTAAAGTTATCATCCGATTGACTTCAGATTGATACACAGAGATTAAGGTCTTGAGACGAACAAGTATACAGTGTATTAATTTTCAATGAATTTTGATAACTTGAACAGCTAAATCCATGATATTAAATGTTTTGTATACTAAACATTAGCAATGGGGCAGAACTTTATAAAAGCCAAACAAATTCTAATGAGATTCTGATAATTACTTAATGAGTTGTTACTCTTAATCAGATTTTAGTGTATTATAAATGTTTCATTAACGAAAAAGTAAAATTATGCGACAACTCTTGTTGACTGCCCAGACTTTTTATCTGCTGTGGGCGTATGTTTCGTTGCCTGGCAACCTATCTTTATTTCAATATATCCAATAAATATGACAATGCAGGCACCATTTCTAATCACGTGTTTATACATGTAAATTACATTACTAAATATAGAATAAAACAACACAGTAAAGTATGATTAGTAAATTTAACTGAAAACTAATTTACATTACTAAAAATAGAATAAAACAACACAGCAGTGATGGGATTTTGCCCGTATATTCTGGACTTGTCCGAATCTTTTTTCCAAACGCCCAAAATTGTCCGACCGGGAATATGCCCAATCGAACATCAAGACATGGTGAATAATATTCAAAATTCCGAAATTAATATAGTTTACTGAGTGTATAACTACCACTCAACCCGATTATCGTCGATAATACGCTGGGTTTATTAGGTAATTAAGTGATCAACGTATTTATCGTGTTATACCGTCTAAAGTATAAACCTATTGATTGACTGACTTAATCCTTTGTCGGACAATTCATCAATCTAATTTTAAACAGAAGTCATTGCTTTTCTTTTGTCGGACTATTCATCAATTCAATAAGAATGATTATAATTTTAATCCACCTGTTTACCTCGTGGTTTCTCATTTGTCGAGCATCTTAATCGCATTGATGTGAGCCGACATCATCTATAATAAACTAATCATAGATGTCACATATCGTAAGAGTAAATAACACCCTAAATTAATGGACAGTCAATTTGTCTACGATATCTTTTACGTCTTTTAAGAATCCATATAGAAATTCTCATCCAGGGTGGCACTTTCCCTTGATCTCAAGCACGGCACGAATATTGCTTAACATATTATTAGGCAGTGCTTACTATGAAGTCGTGTGATGTGAGTCACGTAGGCTATTCGTCTCTATTATCCAGAAAAATATTCTACGAATATGTTGAAGACTAGGAGTTTCTGGGTGATCGAGACTAGTACGCACCCAGCAAAATAACAAAAAGGGAGGTGCTACCAATAGCTATATGAGCAGAAATTCTAACGTATTTGTAGGCGGGAATTAAGAAGCATGTCAATCATTCTGCTGTGTTGCCTATGATGCCTGTCACTCTGTCGTGACTATGAAAGAGTGTTATTCGCTGAAGTAAGCTATGCCTGTTTACAAGTGATTTAACTATTTCGGGTTCTGCATTCATTTGCTGCCGTATAAACGAAGACACGTAATTCTAAAGGAATATTATGGTTGTGAATTTGAAGCCGAAGCAGGATCGGCAAGCTTTCATTCAACATATTACGAAAATGCTTAATTTTGTAGGACATTTACTGACATAAATTTGAATGCCGTACGGGAATTAAGTGTGAAAAATAGCGAGGTCACCAATTTTTATTACGTACGGGATTTGAATATTTTGTTGACATGTGGTTTTTAATTGTGGTATGAATTGAATACTGTACGGGAATTAAATATGAAAAATAGCGAGGTTCACCTATTTTTATTAATTACGGGATTTGAATATTTTGACATGTGACTTTTAATTGTGGTACGAATTCGTCTGCTTAAATAAGTATAAGAGTTATGCCCCTTTATTTTCGGTAAAAATGTCTGACAAGAAAAATTTTGAAATCCCATCACTGCAACACAGTATAGTATGATTGGTAAATCTAATGGAAAACTAAAAGTAGAAATCTCACGAGATACATAAAATTACAAGAAATGGAAAAGATTCTGTTTCGATTGCATTTTCAAAATATTGATGATGATAATATTTTGAAGGTGTGTGTGGGGGGGGGGGGGGGTAAGCTTGTGTTTAATAAAGAAATAAACAAGCTAAGAAATGTCATGGAGCAACGGTTACTCGCTTACTGAACATTTTTTTTGTCCCCCGCCTTTCAAAGAAAGCAGGAGACTATTAAAATGTGTTCGTCTGTCCGTCACATTTTTCGGGACACAATAACTCTTTCTAATTGAGCTAGAACAAGTAGAATGTTCAAACTTGGTGTAGGTATTTATTAGGTCAATGCCTTGGGTATGCAGAGATAAGCAATTTGATTGGTTCATGCTTTGGGACACGATAACTTTAGTTCTAATTAAGTGAGAGTGATGAAACTTGGTGTATAGTTTCACCACATCAATTCCTTGACTAAGTTCGATAATGGGCATTTTCTGCTCAGGGTAAGCAGAGCGATAAGCAATTTGATTGGTCGAGACTTTGGAACACAATAACTCTCATTCTAATTGAGTTAGAATGTTCACACTTGGTGTAGGTGTCTATTAGGTGAATGCCTTGATGAAGTTAGAAAATGAGAATTTTCTGCTAAGGGTAAGCACGCAGAGATAAGCAATTTGATTGATGCTTTGGGACACGATAACTTTAGTTCTAATGAAGTGAGTGTGAGGAAACTTGTGTATAGCTTTTTATACGCCCACACTTGGTACAATGACATGCAATCCCTTTAATTTCAAAATTTCATTTCAGGCTTCTGCCATAGACAAGGAAACCAGAGGATCTTGTCCGATATGTCATCAATGGTTTATGATGTCCTACCTAATGGCTGAAAATCAAGAAGGCGTCAATTTCAAAGTCTTCACTGTCCAAGCAGACTGTCCACCCAAAAACTTTTTGGAAGAAGGTTGGAGCAAAAAGTTCCCTGTTGTAAAAGCAAGGTCATGTATCACAAAAACTGGTCAGGATATTAGTGGTATGATGTATGACACATTTGAAGAATTAGAAGTTTTCTTTGAAAGCATTAACAAAGACTGCCCAGAATTAAAGAGACGTAATGCACCAAATGTTGAAGCTATGAAGTGTGTTGAAGATCTATATAAGGTAGGCCAGTCCATGTTTGTGAGAATCCTATGGGTAGGATGGAAACACTTGATAAAAGTATGAGCATATAATAAGTTATAAGCTAAGTTCTGTGAAGAACTTAGGTGTCCTCTTAGAGCCAAATCTAAGCATGGACAGTCACAATCGTGAAATTTGTCGATAAATGCTATTTTCAGCTCAGAGACATTGGCCATATAAGACACTTGAAATTACTCCATTTGCTGCCAATAATGAATAAATGAAAAAATCATCTTCAAAATTCTGTCCTTGACTTATCAGTGTGTAAATGACTTAGCTCCAAAATACTTATCCGACCTTATGCAAATACATGTTCCCTCACGTAACCTCCAATCAGCAGTGCCATAAAAAGCTCTTCTAAAATTACAACAGCTGAAAATCGCTCCTGCGAAAATAGCACTTCTCAACTCAAAGTAAAGGAGCATTCCATTATTTAGAAGAGCTATTCATGTATTTCATAATTTGACCATATATGAAGCCATTTATTGACCATTAATACTTAGAAAATAAGGATATGTGTTTCAATATTTCTTAGAAATTTCAGTATCAATGTTTCACTCCTATACTGACTTGATGAAAACCATAGACAAAAGTCACAGAAAAAATCCTTAAGTTTAACTTTGACTCCCTTAAAATTTTGGCACAAAGCCTGCACCATAACAATTCGATGTTTGCCGTTTTGTCTCCAATAAAAATTTAAGCATTGAAAAAATTCAAAACAATGTCCAAAAATAAAGTTTATGTATACTATTCAAAAAAAGTAGGGGATATTTGATTTTGGGGGCATAATACTAAAATATGCAAATGACTACGAAAAAAGTCACTATAGAACCTAACAGAAGAAACATTTCCAGTTACATGTGACGCCCAAACGCACCAATAGCTACCGCATGGAATGCAGGTGATGCTTGGGATCATCGTGGGGGTCCAACCCAAGATTTGCACGACTCTGACTTTGAATGTTACAGTCATTGTGGCATTGAATTCCAGGGTGGAAACATCAGTTTAATTGTTTTAGTGACCTGAAAACAAATTTTGATATGCGTCGGCTTACCCCAAAATGAAAGGTTACGTGCCCTTGGCATGCTACAGATCGGCACAACACAGGCGGTTGTGGCGCGGACGATGAATGTTTCTCAGTCTGTCATAAGCAGGCTATGGTCCAGATACCGTGATACACAATCTGTACAGGACAAACCACGCTCAGGTCGACCAAGGGCGACAACTCAAGCCCAGGATCGATTTATCCGTACCTTGGCCTTGAGAAATCGTGTCATCACAGCAAATCAGATCAGCGCTCGTCTTCAAACAGACACTGGTGTGAGAGTGAGTGGCCAGACGATTCAGAATCCATTATTTAGAAGAGCTATTCATGTATTTCATAATTTGACCATATATGAAGCCATTTATTGACCATTAATACTTAGAAAATAAGGATATGTGTTTCAATATTTCTTAGAAATTTCAGTATCAATGTTTCACTCCTATACTGACTTGATGAAAACCATAGACAAAAGTCACAGAAAAAATCCTTAAGTTTAACTTTGACTCCCTTATAATTTTGGCACAAAGCCTGCACCATAACAATTCGATGTTTGCCGTTTTGTCTCCAATAAAAATTTAAGCATTGAAAAAATTCAAAACAATGTCCAAAAATAAAGTTTATGTATACTATTCAAAAAAAGTAGGGGATATTTGATTTTGGGGGCATAATACTAAAATATGCAAATGACTACGAAAAAAGTCACTATAGAACCTAACAGAAGAAACATTTCCAGTTACATGTGACGCCCAAACGCACCAATAGCTACCGCATGGAATGCAGGTGATGCTTGGGATCATCGTGGGGGTCCAACCCAAGATTTGCACGACTCTGACTTTCAATGTTACAGTCATTGTGGCATTGAATTCCAGGGTGGAAACATCAGTTTAATTGTTTTAGTGACCTGAAAACAAATTTTGATATGCGTCGGCTTACCCCAAAATGAAAGGTTACGTGCCCTTGGCATGCTACAGATCGGCACAACACAGGCGGTTGTGGCGCGGACGATGAATGTTTCTCAGTCTGTCATAAGCAGGCTATGGTCCAGATACCGTGATACACAATCTGTACAGGACAGACCACGCTCAGGTCGACCAAGGGCGACAACTCAAGCCCAGGATCGATTTATCCGTACCTTGGCCTTGAGAAATCGTGTCATCACAGCAAATCAGATCAGCGCTCGTCTTCAAACAGACACTGGTGTGAGAGTGAGTGGCCAGACGATTCAGAATCGACTGCATAGGGGTCACCTTCGCGCCCGACGTCCTCGCGTGATCCCTTGTTTGAGAGATCATCACATTCAGGCAAGACGTCGTTGGTGTAGGGATCGTCAACACTGGGATAATCGACGCTGGATCAATGTGATGTTTTCAGATGAGTCAAGGTTCACTGTTGATTTTTTGGACAGACGTAGGAGGGTGTGGCGTCGTCGAAACGAGCGCTTCCAAGACGTTAACGTCATCAAACATGATCGATTTGGGGGTGGTTCTGTTATGGTTGCACGACGTCATGGCCGCCGTTTCATCTTCCAGGATGACAACGCAAGATGTCACAGGGCCAGGATCGTTACAGGTTACCTCCAACAACAGAACATCACCACATTACCTTGGCCAGCACTGAGTCCCGACCTCTCCCCCATCGAGCATGTCTGGGACATGCTTGGACAGAGGTTACGTCAACGTCAACAACGTCCTGCCAATGTCCAAGAACTTGCTGCTGCGTTGCAACAGGAATGGGACAATCTGGACCAAAATGACCTTAGACGTCTCATTAGGAGTATGCCACGTCGGATCAATGCTTGTTTGGCAAACAGAGGAGGATTTACCCGTTACTGACTTGGTTGTGATGCTGTGGTAACTTTGCTGTTTGACCCTGGGTATCATTTTACCCTTATAATGGTCAGTCTGTGCCTTACTTAGTCTAACGATCATTTGGAATAAATCGATGAATGTGAACTTCATTTCATTTTGTCATTTGTTTCTTCGTCAGTTTCATTAGGTGACTTTAATAACACTTAAAAATCAAATATCCCCTACTTTTTTTGAATAGTATATAATTTACATAACAATTTGACAAAAGAAAACAATATACATGTAATTTTTAGCGTAAATTAGTTGGAATGTGAGAAAGGAATTCCAGGGGGGCGCGATCCGCTGTTCTCTCTGCACGTGGTTAATAATAGAATAGTGTCATGTACAGGTGCAACTTCGTGTTTGAAATTCAATTTTGTACCGATATTTTAGAATTTGAATTCTACGCATTTGTCAACAGCAAGGTCATAGGCCTCTACATTAAATTTAAAGGATGATTTGAGAAGTATGTTTTACTTGGCAGAATCCACATCAATTCGGATTATGGAATTGTACGAATCTTCGAGTCGCAGACTTAAAGCTAATGCGACGATTTGCACAAATATTTATTCCTGCCGATGTCGAAATTAATTACGATATTTATATGGATCAAAAGTTTGTGTGCATGGATAATGTGTGACGTGGAAACTTATAAATGGCAGGTTAGTTACTAAAGCGACATTTCGAGGCCTGTCTGATTAAACTCTATACAGTACACTTCGCGCTGAAGTATGAAATTAGTCCTGGTGGGTGTTTTTTTCGCTCAAAAATCGCGACGTTTTTCTCATATACACTCCACAGAATTGGAGAGGTTCTGGGAGGAAAAAGTCCGTGAAAATATAAAATTCGCGGAGGATTATTGTCCGCGAACATATGAAATTCGTGGCAGATTATATTCGATGGAAACATAAAATTCATGGCAGATTATGGTCCACAGTGATTCAAAATAGTCAAGAGTAATTGTCCCCCGCCTTTCGAAGAAAGCAGGGGACTATTAAAATGGGTTCGTCTGTCTGTCTGTCTGTCTGTCTGTCTGTCTGTCTGTCTGTCTGTCTGTCTGTCTGTCTGTCTGTCTGTCTGTCTGTCTGTCTGTCTGTCTGTCTGTCTGTCTGTCTGTCCGTCCGTCCGTCCGTCCGTCCGTCCGTCCGTCCGTCCGTCCGTCCGTCCGTCCGTCCGTCCGTCCGTCCGTCACACTTTTTGGGACACAATAACTCTCTTCCTAATTGAGCTAGAATGTTCAAACTTGGTGTATGTGTTTATTAGGTCAATGCCTTGATGGAGTTCGAAGATGAGCATTTTCCGCTTAGGGTAAGCAGAGATAAGCAATTTGATTGGTTGATGCTTTGGGACACGATAACTCTCTTCCTAATTGGGCTAGAATGTTCAAACTTGGTGTATGTGTTTATTAGGTCAATGCCTTGACGGAGTTCGAAGATGAGCATTTTCCGCTTAGGGTAAGCAGAGATAAGCAATTTGATTGGTTGATGCTTTGGGACACGATAACTTTAGTTCTAATTAAGTGAGAACTATTATAAATTAATTAAATATGTAGTATGCAATAATGAATTGACATTTAATGACAGAAAGAAAACAGTGAACTTTGCACAACTTGCAGCAAGATGGAAAATAGACCCGTTGATACAACCAAACTCTAGATCTGTAGGCATAGAGCATGTTTTCCCCTTAATATGCTATAATTATTCCATCAAAAACATTGTATGCTTAGACTATAAGTAAAGATATACTGTTTGATTGTTCAATACTTTGTAAAAGATAATCTGTGATAAATTTATATGTGTCCTCTAATTATTTTCCTATTTCGGCGGGGGACATCAGCCTCACTGTTGGCTTGTTTAGTCCATATTGTCACAAGGTTATTAGAAAGAAACACATATTTAATGGAACAATATTATTCGTTTTAGTTCACCGGTAATTCATATATTCTTAACACTCTTTTCAAATTGCGTTTTGAAAAATAACTAAAGTGTACCAATGAATTGCATTCATTTCCTAAAATGTCCGTAATGCTGGATTCATTTATAATGTACATCGGTATTTAATTCGTGAATCGTACCACAAAGCACATACAC